ACCCCACACACTTATATATCCCAAGTCTCCACTTCTTTTCAAACTCTTCCATCATTGCATTTTCGTACAGCCCATTTCCATCCTCCATAAAAAAACACACACATAACCATCACCATTGAAAGAATATATATACACTTATATATATATATATATATATAGCTTAAAATATGTATAGGTGTGGTGGCTCTAATAATGCCATGGTATTTTCGATGCCATACGACGGAGAATCGCCTACTTCATCCGCCGTTGATTGTACGCTTTCTTTAGGTACGCCGGCGACTCGTTTGACAGCCGATTACGATAGGGTCAATGAAAGAAGACCGTCTGCTAATTGGTCCGCTAATTTCTGTTGGGATATTTTACAAAACTCACCTTCTCAGAAACCTAATCGCAGCGGTGGTAATGGCGGAACCACCACCGCCGCCGGAGACCCTCTTTTAGCTCGCCGATGCGCTAACTGTGACACCACTTCTACCCCGCTATGGAGAAACGGTCCCCGTGGCCCGAAGGTAGGTTTTATTGAAATTAAGATGGAAAAAAACGTCATTTAATCGATTCGATCATTCGATTTCGATAACTATTTTGGAAGAAAATTGGAACTGAATTTGAGTATTTTGCAGTCGCTGTGTAATGCCTGTGGAATCAGGTTCAAGAAGGAGGAGAGGCGAGCAAACGCGGCGGCGACGGTGACAACCGGCGGCAGCGAGATGGCGGAGACCCACCATCATCAACTCATGATGAACGGAAACCACCCATGGGTTCATCACACACAAGCCACAAATAAACTACCGTCATGCTACTCGCCGGCGGCGGCGGTGAAAGGGAATGAGTTTAGGTTCATTGATGACGTGGACGACAGAGATTCTCCGTTCCTATCGTGGCGTCTCAATGTGACTGACAGGGCAGGACTCGTCCACGGGTTCACGAGATGAAAAAGGGGGTCCCACTAGAGGATGACGTGGAGTAAAAAATTTAATTAATTCTATTTCCAGAGCAAAAAAAGTTTAGTCCAGATCACTACTTTTGTAATCATTTTGTACTTCGCGCATTGGTACTTGTACAATCGGTGTTTGTCGATTATCGCCTTTGTAAAAGACTCGCTTTTATTTATTTATTCGGTTTTAATTAAATAGTATTAATTCTTTTTTGTGCTTTGGATTTTGTCGGTCAAACGTCACATTGTTTGGTCTCAAAAAATAGATTTTTCCCAAAAAATATTCTCCAAACTTAATTTTTAATGCGTAATTATATAAATTAAATTTTGTTTAAATACTTTTATTTCATCAGATATCTATACTATATTATAAAACATTTGACAAAAACTCTTAAAAATAATTTTTTATGCATGAAATACTGTTTATTAATGCATATTACTTAAAATTCAAGATTACAAGTAAGTTGTGCGTAAGTACAATTTATTAAAACTTTATCTTTGAATTCGTGTAGCTAACTGCAGATAAACATAATCAAATATATGATAAACATCTCATTTTAAATATAATCAGGATAATCATTGAGTTTTAACAGAATACTTAATGATTATCTTTATAAAAAATTATATTATCAAACCTAAATTAACTTATTTCTTTACGTTAAATTAGATTATAATAAAAAAATTGAATTAAAAAAAATTACAAGAAAATAGAACTTTTAAATAGTTAATTTGATACTAATATTGATATTTTTTTTTCAAATTTTTATGATATTTTCAAATTTATATTTTATTCAAAAATAAAAACATTATCGCTCTCAAAACCACATAAAACTGTATTATATCGGCAAAAATAAAAAATAAAATGAAACATTGAAATCGAGATATATCTCGATGCATTGCACGAATACTCTTCTAGTATTTAATAAAATATTGATTACCGACTATTCTAACTGGTTTTACCTGAAACACATGCCTTGTAAGAACTATATGTCAAGAGACATTTCAAAGCGGACTCAACGATTGAGTAGACATTATAGTTTAAATATTTTGCATTCTCTTTGCACTTTTTTTTTTGATTAACTTGAATATCCAACCCGTTATGCGAGCCAACTAATATCAAGGTTACCACCTACTTTGCAGATAGTCCGGAATCACCGCATTTGAACCTCTGTGTCCACAAGAATATTTTTATTCCTTCTTGGATTTGAACCTGGAACCTCTAGGTACTTTTGACCTTTGTAGTCAAGCTCAAACCAATTAGGCACCATCCATATAGCCTTTAACAAACACACAAGAGTTCCATGCCACTACATTAGACTAGACAACGTACCTATATGTGTAGTACTGAATAACTGACATACTTTACGGTCTTTATATTATTTTTCTAGATAAATGCACCAAAAATGTAGACACCGTGGTATTAAAAGGTACTACAAGAGTAAGAAAAACAACAAAATGTCACCATTATATCCTATATACATCATATTGAAAAAACAAAATGAAATGATGACCGATAAGGCCTAAAACGAAGATGAACCCTTTTGCCTAAAACGAATGGTTCAAGAAAGCTAGAACGAAGGATATCATGTGCTAGAATGGAGTCGAAAGAGCAAATTTGGTGTCATAGTCGTTTGGTGAGGATTAGAGAAAATTGAGGTTAAAGTCGAAGGCGTCCAGGGGCAAGAGTCATTGCAGGGACGTTCCAATCTTTTTGAAGGCCCTGCTATGTCTAAAACTTTTGATTGTATTGCGTAAATAAGATAACAGAGAATATATGTTATGAACAAAAATGGGCTAAAACTAAAGCGATTAACAATATGAAACTAAACCTAAACCATTAATAATTTGAACCTAAAACCAAATAATTAATGGTATGAACCTAAATAATTTCGGCTTTAGTTTTACACAGGTCGATAAAAAGTCCTTACACACATGTAAATTTGGATCCACAATTTCGAAGGCCCTATTTAAAATATCACATTTAACATACTAAGGACGGCCTGAGTCATTGGATGAAATATGGCAACATAGGAGAATGGCATAGTTCGCATTTAATGAGTTACAGTGGAACGTGAGCTCAAGCTAGTACCTCTCCAGCTCGAATCAATATCGAAAACAAAAAAGATTGTTTAACTTAACGAGTCGAGTTTGGTAACATTAGGGCGTGTTTGTTTTTCCAAAATTATCTCTTAATATCTTTGAAGTCTGATTCGTTCAGACGTTTGGATATTAAGAGCGTTTGTTTATATTTCTAAAATAAGAGTTTAAAAGCTTTAAATGTCATTTGAAATTTTAAGTGGTAAACGTATCCCTTAATATTTTTCCCGCTATCAAATGGTTCATATTTTGCCGGCTGAAAGAGATTTGTTAGCAAAAACTATTTATCTTTTATATTTTTCAACTGGTTTGACCGATTCAGATTTCAAGATTCAGACGTAAAAACAAACAATCTTACTGATCCAGATTTCAGACTTTAGTACCGCCTCTTATAAATCAGAAGTGAAATCAGACTTCAGACTTCAACACCTCTTAAAAGACAAACGCTACCTTAATGTTTGACTCGGTTCTCTCAAAAACTCGATTAAACTTTTCGAGTCGAGCCAACCCATATGAGCATACATTTTCTTCTAATAGAACATGTTCCTATGTACGTATACTAAAGAATAAGTTCTAAAAAAACGTTGTTGCTAGGGTTAGGCTTCAAGCTCGAACCAATAAATGAGTTAATTGATCTCGAGTTTAAACTCATAAATGAACTTATAAAACTTGAATTTTAGGTTATAATGTAACTCAAAATCGTTAAATGGGCATAAGTCAAGCTCGAACACTACTTTGAAAAACTTTATTCAAACTCGAACCTGATATTATTTCTTCTAGTCAAGCCAAACAACCTACTACACGACTTGAATTGACTCAATTGGTTAACATATCATCAGAGGGGTGACGATGAGGAAGCCAAAAGAGACGGTGATGATCACCAATACCAATGGTGGAGATTGATGAGGCTCGGATATGGTGGTGGAATGAATTAGAGAAGAAAAACAGAAAGAGAAGAGGTTGAAAGATAAAAGGGAAACCATAAAGATCACCGACAAAATCTAGCACAAGGCTCGGGAACGCTTTAGGAACAAAATTGAAGAGAGAAAGATGACTCTTTTTTACTTTAGTTTTACGTTTAACAATATATGTACATCAATTATTTTTGTGTAAAAGAATAAATGAAATAGACAATTGATACAAGTGTACAAGATTTTGAGGCTTTCTGGTTGGTTTTCAATAAATCCTGTATGGATAAACCTATCAGCGTGAATTAATCTGCCTATATAAACAAGGAAGGTTTTTGCTTGGAATGTTCTTTCATAGATAGAAGAAGCATGTTTCTACATAAAGCTTATGTTTCTACATAAAGCTCCCCCTATAAGCTTACTGAATAAACTGTTTTCTATATTATTAAGCTACTACCAAACATTCACGTATAGCTGACCGGATAAGTTATGAGTCTTGATAAGCTAATTAAGATGCTAACAAATATGTCCTTATAGTGATATGATTGAAGATGTTATCATGTTGATGCATCATTAGCCATTCCTTGATTTTCATGGGTGCAACAACAAATGCAACCTACTTGTACTCTTTTTGTTCCAAAATAAATGTCCAAAAAGTTTATACATATGTAATTAATACATTTTTGTAATTAATTAAATGACAAATTTACCTTTAATAATAGACGAAGTAATGAATTTCTTCGTCTTATAATTAAGAATATAATCGAAAAGTAGGTGCTTACTAAAAGTGGATACTTATTTTGGGACAAACTAAAACAAAAATACTGACACCTATTTGAATAGATGAAGTACTACGTTTCCGTGACCAGTTCTATTGCTTCAAGAAAAGATGGGGAATACTGAATACATCCTCTTGGGCCCCAAAACATTAGCCTCATATGTAAAGAAGGTGGACATCCTTGCAGAATGAGTTAGAAGTTTAGACTTCGACTCCAGATTCCAGACACCACTCACCTGCACCTAGGACACACGATTCCATGATGGTGTGGGACCTATACAGTGGGGCGGTCCAAAGGATGACATTATACCAGAATATTACATTAAAGGGTAGTTTTCTATAACGTAAAATCATGCGGTAGAAAAATAATCTATGCATCAAAGATCACTCGAATGGTTTCAACAGTTAATTGTGACCAAAAACATGATCCTACAATCCGAAAATGTGTACTGAAAGACGTATGGAATGAAACTGAATGCGGCTCTTTTTTGTTGTGACCGTAAAACACTACGAAATATGGTAACAGTTGAAGGTGTAAAGAAGGCAGGTCACCTGGTTCGTGTCGAAGGTCTCGTGAAGCTCCTTGCCTCCCTGCAAACTAGATAACTTGGTTATCGATCATTGTCCATTAACTTGTGTCTATGCTACGTTTCACATACATGTATGCTAGTTTATATATATGTCTACACTAGGTCAAGGTAATACAAACATAGGAGGATCAAACGAGAAGGCGGTTAACTTGGAAAGTGCAAGAAGGGTCAAATCACATGTGATTTACTACACGTCCAGAAGGAAGCAGTCAATTAACGTGACCAAGGTCGCGTGAAAACTCGTCCATCTAATAGCCGGTCAACGTGACCCTTCTAATCGTGTTGTAAATTAAATGTGATTTGGTCCTTTTCACGCTTCTCGTAAGTTTGAACCTGCCCCTACAAACATATGTATATCACAAATGATTGATCATATATATATATATAATATGGGTTGAGTTCACGTAAGACCAGACTGTTTTCGTGAGACCACATTTTTACACCTGAAACTTCAAAGCAAAAACACTGTGAAGGTTTAAAAAAGTCGAACCTTCACAGCAAAAACATTGTGAAGGTTACCTTCACAGCATTTTGCTGTGAAGTTTCAAGTGTAAAAAGCTGGTCTCACGGGTCTCATGAAAACAGGCTGGTCTCACGGGTCTCACGAAAACAGGCTGGTCTCACGTGATCCCAAGTCTATAATATATATATATATATATATATATATATACTAGGCCATACATACGTGCCCACATGTATATAATATGTTATACATCGATATATATATATATATATATA